CTGGGACGAGGAAAACCGCCCGCCGCTGTCATTGCGCTTGGATGCCACTGCTGTAGACTGCGTCGCTGGTAATGGTCTGATCGCACTGCTGTTTGAAACGCGTTTACGGAGCCCCAGTTCCTCCAAGGTTTCATCCGACAGATCGTCGTCTTCGATGGCATCGCTCAACTCGCCATTATTTTCCACCTCCACATCTGGCGTCTCGGACTTTCTCTTCCATCTCTGCTCTTCTGTCGCCTTGTGGAAGAAGTTGTGAAGCGACTTGTTCTTTTCCACCTCGTTCTTGACTTTGCTATTATTCTTTCTCGCTTTCTCGGGGGAGGATGTCGGTGAAGGTTTCGCGGCGGCCTTTCTGGAGGCAGACCTGGTCGTTGTAGACTTTACCGGAGACACTGTCGCAGACGTCCTGCCATCGAGCGTGATTTCCCGCTGTAAGCTCGCCCTGCTAGGTTTGGGAGACGGAACGTCCAAATCTTCATCGCCGCCATCTGAAAGGACGATGGTAGATCTGCGCTGCCGTTTGGCAGGTCGAGGAGCCATTGGCAAGCATCCTGAAGCTGCGGGGATCAGGCAATGACATTCGCCGCCGGATCAATCGAAAGTCGTACGAGAATGCCACAAACGCGGTTCCAACTTGAATTGGGGTTGAGATTTGGGAAATACACCGCAAGATGGCTTAAGGCGGCACCATTTCACGTGATACGATTGTACACGCCTCGACTTCTATTTTAGGACTCACTGCACCAACGCAGACCACCACAGGAAAAACAACACTCCTTTCAAGTCACGATAACACAGTCAAGGAGCCGGGGGTCTATGGTAGAGGAACCTTTTTTCGCGATTTGGTTGAGCGGTTGAAGTGCTCGAGAATCGAGCGCATATGATATATACTGTACATCCGCTGTAACTCCCACCACAAGGACATCGACGCCGCAAGATCATCTCTTCGTGCTGCAAATCAGATAGCCTCACCCGCGATTGAACAGCCCATCCCACAAATTGTCCCAGAAACCCAGGTCATACAGGTTCTCGACCTCTGCGATCGAAGAAACAAGTTCCCACCGCTCGTCCGGCACCTCTTCCTCACCCTGTTTACCTTCTGCCGCTTCAGGCCTCCCGACACTGGCACCATTTACACTCTTTCTTGGGGGTTTCCTCGTCGGTGGTTTGCCATCTCTCGTCCTCACGAGCCACCACTTCGCCCGCACGCCTTCTGGCCATTTCACGTCCTTATCAAGTGGTTCAACGTCCTCGGGTAAAGGTGGATACGTCTCTCTGAGCCTGGTCATCTCCGCCCGAAAGACTACCTTATCCGCAATGTCTTCTTTCCAGTCACTCCATTTGGAGCTCTCGTTCGTAGTCATCCCCGCCCAGATGAGATAGATGTGGTAGGCTAGAAACCCTAACGCCAAAGGGATACACATCATAGCTAGCATCATGACGGCCCCGATCTGCCATTCCATGGCAATAGCCCAGGCCCAGGCGTGGGCATACTCGTTCCAGGTCATCCGGGTGCTCCACCGCTTGGCCGTGAAACTGGCCTTTGTCAGCGCCGGCGGCACCAGTTGGTCCTGAAGTCTTCGGTCAAGCAAGGCGTAACCAAGATGTGACCCATAGAATAGTAGTACAGCTATGCTGACAAGGAGAAGATTGAACCACAGGTAATTGTTCCTTCCCACGCAGTTGTTGATCCAGATGCAGTGGTGGTCCTGTTTCTGAATGCAAGCCTTACACAGAGAGCAGTGCTTAGACCTTGCAGGTTTTGCAAATCGGCAGGTGGAGCAGAAGTAGCCCGGGTGGAAGAGAGCAAAGTCATAGGGATAAGCCAACATTGCCGCCCGGTGGTTCTCAGCAGTGATGTTCGAGGACGTGGTGGCAGAAAGGTACAGAAACACCAAAGGAGCAACAATCAGAGGTGGCAGCACTGCTATTTGCTTGGTCGAAAGACGGCTCCATGCTGCTGGAATGAAGAGAACTTCGCCGATGAGTTGTAAGAGGACAAAGAAGATCTAGATGCGTTGGTGAGCAAGTGTCCGGTTTCTCGCCTGTTCAACACCTGATCCTTGAACATACAAGAACAATAGGATGTTTCTCATTCATGAGATAATTGCCCGCCTTCGCGAGACTACGCGTTAGACGGCGTCCGGTAAGCCGTTCATCGACGCTGATGACAGCATTCGGAATATGCCGCCATAGTAGTCGATGGAGAAAAGCAACAGGTGTCCTCCTGCAGAGAACATGTAAGAAGTTGAGGCTGAAGGATCTTCAGGGGAGGGGAAAATCCCGCTTACCTGAAGACGGGTAGTCGACCAAAGAGAGCAACGAAGACAACGAACGAGATGCTGAGCACTACAATACCTATAGTCCGTATAACGCCCATTCTTGCATGTCGAAAGTCATATCAAGAATGTAATCTGGTCGACAATGGACACTTGGCTGGCCTATTGACTAGGGCGGCATTGGTGCTGGAGCGCGTTGAGTCAGCCTTGGCGTTTCCAGGTTGGGTCGCGCCGCTTTTAGATTCCTTCGTCTCTATGATAATGAGACCACGTTCGTTGGTTTATGTCTGTCATCCCGTACGTACATAACCTGTCCTGATTCATTCATATAGGCCTCTTAACATGACAACCCCTTCATAAACACAGATATAGATGACCACATCACAGAAAAATGTCCTGACTCTCTCTTAATGACCATGACGGTATCTCAGGGTTGAGCTCGACACCAAAACTCTCTTTTCACTGGTGTCCATTGACGACCACTCCCTTCTCCATTCGGCTAGCCGATCCATGACCATTGTTCATGGCGATGTTGTTGCCTTTGAGACTGGAGAGAGCAGCCCGGTGACGGAACAAGTTGATCGTATATAGGACGAAGGTGACGCCAAACAGGATGCTGCATTCTATTAGGCAGGGACACTGACGAACGAAGGGCCCTAATACTCACAAGTTGATGACTGAAAGCGCAAGGGCGACATACATGGTCGCAGAGAGGGGATCAGTCGATCGTTTGACAAGCCCACGTTTGTCATGGAGGTCTCTCTTGTAGTTGACGCAGACTCCGGCGTAGCAGACCGAACCGCTACCATCACTCCCACCGCCGGAATAGTCGACGCCGTCGTAGCTTGAAGTGTAGCTTGTAGCCTGGACAAGTAGGGCGACCTTGTCGGCTGTGAGGGCAAAGGTACAGAGCCAAAAGATGAGGACGAAGAGCTCGACAGCAAAAATAGCCCAGTAATTGTAAAGATGGGTGTTGCCTGGGCTGTTGGCCACGAACCAGTAGATCAGAAAGATGATGCTGGCGAGACCTGTGAAAAGGCTAATGCCGCCAGCCTTACAAGTGTCAGGTAAAAACTTGTAGAGTCAAGCCGGGTATCTCACATCATAGTTCGGTGCTAGAGAAAGGTGATAGCAGGCAATCCCAAACACGATAACGGTCAAGATCATCTGGACAATCCTGAAAGGAAAGAAGATGCGCTGCACAGGCACAACAGAGTACCCCTCTCCGGAAGACATGATGCCTTGATAAGTATATAGAAGTCCCGGATAGGTTCAGAGCAGAGGATGGTGACTTGGCTAGAACGGTACGTGGACGATATGGAAGTAGAATCAACGAGCGACTTGAAATCTCTGTGAACAAGGAACGGGATGGGTTGAGTCACAATGGATATTCAAACAGGAAGCGCTCCTATTTATGCAGCAGCAGGAAATACCCTGGTTCTTGACAAACATGGTACTTACACAAGAGAAATCTTTCGTACAGCAGAATGGGAAATTGCCACCGCCAAAGGGCTGCAGAAATACGAACATTCAAGGCACACATCCTGGATGGCAGGCCAGGTTGCCGATATATTTGGAACGTATAGTCTCCTGAGATAGATACGAGGGATGAAGTCTAACAGGGCCAATAGTGACTCTCGATGTCGGAATAAGGGGTTGAAGGGGCCCCTCCATGCCCATTCCGGTCGATGTCTTGGCGCGTGCCAAGGCCCTTGTCAAGGCTTGAGGCGCTCCCGTCCACATCAAGCAACCTGGATTCTGGGTGCATCTCTCAGCCTCACAAACACTCAACTGTCCTCGCCAAGCGAAACTCTGCCTTGTCCAATTTCCACAGGGCCAGCCTGTTGGCCAGCTTTGAGATGTGTAGTTTCGGCGGCTACCAATGTGTCAAAGTCCTACATGGTGAGTCCCATGCTTAGTAGCGAGGGATACCCATGCCCATGTGCCCACTCCCATGTCTACCCCTGATGTCCATGAGCTATTGGGGGAAAGAATCGAGCTGTGGAACCAAGCATATACAGAGCGGGAGATCGCAGCCAAGACCGTTATAAGGCTGAGTCTCATGTGGTTTGACTAGCTTCAGTGAAGCTACCGAGAACACATGGATATACACCGTCATGGAAAGAGCTGAAGATGGTCTAGAAACGCCACAGGGAGAGTTGCAACTCTCTTTAACAGACCTGGCCCCCACGATACGAGGACTCGAGGGGTCATTGACAGCAAGGCTGGATTCTACAACAGTCCTACCTCCTTTTATTCGACCAGTCGCGTCTGAATCGAGAGTGACTTCGCAGACAACACGAGAAATCAGGGTCACCATACGAACGCCGCTTTCAACAGCTCAATAGTTTGTCACAGTCCCAGCCACAGCGTCTGAAAATGCGCATTACGTCTGTTACCTTGCACCCGTGATCAAGCAGCCCCTGACCAACCGTTGGTCGAGACTCTGCTTCTCTTCCCAATCAGTCAATCTCATCCCCTACCGCATGTTTCCTGCCAAGTGCACCTCGTATACTACCACTCCCTCGTGTGGAAGTTGCCTCGACGCAAATGGCCATCTACAGAGCCAGCCAGCAGATGGGGTCTTTTCGTCTCTTCCAGCCAGAATCTCGGCTGCTGACCAGACGAAAGGCAATCTCCTCGACCATATAGAGTCGGCGCGACCCTCGTTGACTTTGGTCGAGACAGCCAACCCGGGGCAACACCATCGTCCTTGTCAAGATGTATCCCTTCTTTCTGGTTCTGCCATGTGTCGTTCTTTTCGCGAGCATTGCCGATGCTTATCTCCTTCCACGAGATTCGGCACCGGTCTGTACCAACCTGCGAGCCAATTCAAACAATGGCGATCGCAAGGTCGCCCTGGTGATTGACAGCTCTGGTTCTATGGAACTATCAGATCCTTACCTATATCGACTCAGCGCTGCAAAAATGGTTCTCGACTGGCTTATTTCCAAGGACGAGGTAACCAGCACCCAGAAACAAGACAAAGTCACCATCATCAACTTTGACGATGAAGCCTATCTAGACTACCCTCTTGGAGACCCCGGTGCAGCTGCAAGCTCGCTTGCAGGGATCGGCGCAGATGGCGGCACCTATATTGCAGGTGGTGTTCAAATGGCCATTAAGCAACTCACCGCTGTCAATACGGGAGACACCTCTGGTCGAAGTGGAATCCTAGTCTTCACGGACGGAGAGGTATGTAGATATTGATATTGACCTGTCCTTATTTTGGCTTGCTTTCTCAGCAACCCCTTTTTTTATCTACTTCCTACAAACATCTTGACCACCACGACCTCTTCAAATGTTATTGCTGTATTGCTGACTGTTCTCTCAGGACTATAGCACCTCGGATCTCGTGGGTCAGATTAACCGTGCTAGCGGCCTCGGTATCAGAGTGGCATTCGGATTTCTAGACTCATCTTCTAGCCTACAGGACACCGACGTCCTTGCTGCGATCATGAACTCCGGGGGAAGATATTTTACCATACAGAACTATAATGCCTCAAAGGCTTTTATCGACGGCATCATTGTCAATGGTCTTACGAGGAACGACAACCCGGACGGAGACACGACCACTTTACTGGCTGGTCTCGATGCATCACACTTCATCTCAGGCTCTGAGACGCAGACCATGTCGTACAGCGCAAGATCCAAGGAGCAGCTGACGTTCAATGTCCAAAGCGTCGATGCCGGCACCCTAGCGGTTCAAATCGTGTCTGGGAGCAAGACTCTGGCCAAAGGCGAAGCGGACTACTACTCCAGTTACTATTCCAGTGGATTCTCCGTCGTCGCTCCCAGTACCGGCACGATCGACGTCAAGGTCACGGCAGACAGGGCCGACAAGAACTCCATCTTCGTCGTCGGGGTGACGTCGAACCTGCCTCCCGAGAACTGCACAGTCGGCGTTATCGGCGACGACGAACCGAAGCACAACAACACCCCCCAAATCGTCGAGAGTTCTGTTGGCAGCGTGGTTGGACTGGTCATCTTGGGCGTGATCGCCTATCTGCTCCACAAATACTGCTACAAGAGGCACGGGAAACGCCACCCTCTTCATGACCATCCGTCAGATTGCCCGCAAGATCCGAAGCACCCTACACAGACAACATCGCGAGAGATACCGGGGCACAATCCGTCTCGCATACCATGGTTCAGCTTCCCGCCGGCCCTACCACCAACGCATGGTCAGCCACCTAACCCGCCGAGGACCACTGATAATCACGACCGCGACTGGGATGAACACTCCTGTTCAGACGTCCCCAGCGACGACAATTACGATACGCCGTCGCAGTTCTCGAACCCACCGGCCAAGCTGAACCACTGTGGCCCACCTTGGCACAATGCCAACCCGCCCTGTCAGCCTCCTTTTCAGAACGACCTCCCTCCGTACCAGAATGGCAACCCACCGAACCAGCCGTCCTATCCCAACCAACCGTCGAACCCATCCTCGAACCCTAACCAACCATCACAACCCAATCAACCGTCAAACCCGAACCAGCCACAAGATCCCAATGAGCCGCCTACCGACCCGCAAGACCCCGGCCAGCCTGAGCCTCCGCCTGAAAATGAGCCCGAACACCACCCGCACGCACATATGCGCCTCCGGACATACGGGGACGAGCACCACCACCACATCCCGCCATCGCACCCGTGCTACCGGAAGAGATGCCCGATCGCGTCCACGACCCACGTATGCGGCGACGACGGAACAAGCCACCCCTGCACGTGCGTCGACCCGAAGTGCCCGCTGAACCAGCCGCGCCAGCTGCTCCGGCAGCACCGGTGTCCCGACCCCGCGATGCCGCACACCTGCGCGGGACCGGACCTCGACCCGCGCTGTCCGCTCAACGACCGGGACTACGCCCGGCGGAAGAAGCAGGAGCGCGACGCCCTCGTGCGGAAGTATGTCGCGCAGGACCTGGCTTTGGGCGGCGTGAAAGTCGCGGCCTCGACGGCGGCTCAGACCGCGCTGATTTCCCAGTTATAATAGCGCAAGGGCAAGCGCTTTTCCAGGGGGGATGGATGACTACGTGGATGAATGAGTCTGGTAGAGTTGACTGAGGCTATTCGGTCCGTGTCGACCTGCTCATATGATAGTGGCGTCCAGTGGGAGAGTGATAGTAGAGGTAATGTGAGGAATCTCGAGTACTTCGAACTCTGGTTTGCCGACAAAGCCGAAACACTGTAACTGGAGATACCCTGCTTGGGGAATTCTTGGTGTTAACAAGGCTCCTTATCCACACTTACAAGCTCTAGGAGGCCGCCAACGATAGATAGAAAAGGGGGAATGGAACGGACAAAAAGATTTAAACAGCTTCAGCCTTGTAATTCCCTTTCCCTGAGGGAGGAGTCAATAACACTCTAGCTCAAAAGTCCACCAACGCCTAACTAGTGCTGTACATTAGACGCAAAAACAGGCCTGTTGATGTTGGTACAAGTCATCGAATCAACTCGTAGTCGTCCCAGAAACCATTCGCCGTTTTCCTTCTTGAGATGGGAGTTCACCAGACCTCCAAAAAGTCAAGACATAGCCTTCCTCTCCTCCTTCTTTTCGTTCACCGTCTTCGCCCACTTCTTGCCGACTTCATAGCTGCTAATCATGATTGCGCATGCTGGCGCGACTTTCAAACATCGAGCGGCCCAACCCCTGAAAAGCCCACTGATGCCTTCCTCGGTCCAAATATGGTAAAGAAAGCGTGGTATCGAGAGCTCTTCTGGGATATGTTTTCCGGCTTTGGCGGCCTCTCGTGCTGCCACCACGGAGGGGGCGTCGTCTCCAGCATGGTGATAAACTTGTTGACGAGTCTTACCCACATCGAATGGTGTGGTGACAAAAGCAGCAACAGCGCCAGAAGCCGCACCTGCAACGAAACTGTCGACAAAGGTAGTTGTGTGGTTTTCGTCAGCTTGAGCTGATCGTCCGCTGGTCATGGAGCGGGCAGGATCGAGATCATGGCCTTTGGCCACTTGGCGAGCATCGGTCAACTTATTGCGGATCGCTTCGTATCCCCACCAGTAGATGCCGGAAAAGGGCACATCCCGCCACATGGTCAGTGTCAACCCACGCCATAGCGATGTGTATCCCTGTGTCTGGGTCATGCGGTGCAGCCCTAGTAAAGTTTCTTTAAATACACCCGTGTCGATTCCAGATGTCGCTTGCATTCGAGTTCGGAACATTTCGATGGGCGAAACCGAAATAGCAGCTGCTACCCGTGCAATGGAACCAGCAACGAGAGGAGCGTAGGTATCAGAGGAGATCTTTCTTATCGGACTGTTGTGATGGTAACGGAGCCAGTCGTAGCCTGTGAAATAAATGACGTTGGCAGGAATCGCCATGACCAGTGTTGGAGAAAGCCCCCGCCATAATGTCGAATAGCCTTCGTTCCTGGCAATCTTCTTCAAGCCGTCAAGGGTCGAAGTGAAAGTCCTTCGTTGGGTTTCTTCAACGGCACATTCAGCAGCGATTGCTGATGACCCCTGCGCGGAGCCATTTCCTGCGAGGCAGAACTGACCATTATTTCCAACAAAAAACACGTCTCGACAACATGAGTTGACACCCAGGTCGGGCGGGAGGTGTTTGAAGTTCGTCGAGTAGGCGGGAAATCGGGAGAGATTCGAGGGGGAAGGAGGTTGCTGGGATTGTAATCGTACTCGCACGACGTCGAGCGGTGTCACTGTGGAAGAGTCAGTAAGGTTTGGTCGTATATCATGGTGAGATCATGACATACCCAGCAGCGAGGTCAAGATACTCCCCCAAGTGGCGGAGATCATGCGTTGGGCGGTGGTTATCTCGATGGTACTAGAGCCTGACATGTTGCCAGTATTCTGTTGCGAGAGCAGAACTCTGTCATGCCGTTGTCCCTCAGCTTGTAATGGTTGTTGGGCATCGTGACCAAGCGCGTGTTGGGAGAGGGGATGCTCGTCAAGCGACTGCGCAGGCTCCGCAGTGAATGAGTAGGACATTCAAGCCGGGGGAGCCTGGAAGAGTGAAGACTGGTTCAGAATAGAGCCGTGGTCCTGCGAGATCAACTTCAATGCTGGTACATCTATCCCAGGAGAAGATATGAGGTTGTAGGGCGTGAGGAGGCAATTATGACATGGAGACTTTTTGGCTGGTGCATGGATGAGAAATTGACCTGCGGCCAAAAAGACAAAAAGATCGTCAGAGGAGAAAAGACCGAGCATTGCTCGGCCGTTATCGGCCACCTCCAAACGGGAAAGCAAGCCGACCACTCGGGCTAGTGTCGGCGATAACACGGGGATTAGATAAGCAGTACTACTGTAGGTACGTACCTCGCGTACTTCATGCCCTTCGCCAAACGCCACTCATTCCTTTGGCATACCTGGTTGATTGACTCCCCACCATCTGTACGACTCGAATAGATATTGGCGACATCTATTCGGCCCGTTCCAACCCCGTGTCTCGATATCGAACAAGTGGGGAAAACTCAGGGTGATCCTTCCACCTAGCGAGACCGTCTACGACCCCGCTGAGTCAATACGTAAGGGAAGGCATCATGGCTGAGCAGGCCGCGGAACTTGAACAGTTCCGCCAACAGTGGAAGGAAGAAGTCAGTGCTCGGGCTAGAAAACCAGAAAAGAAGCCTCTGTCATCAGCACAACACAAACACAGAAGGACTAGTGATGGCCGACCCGAGAGACCCGTCAACAAACCTCCGACTCGCCATCCCGCGGCAGATATCAAACAGGACGACTCTGACCACTATAGCGATGCCGATCAGGCTGGCGGTAGCAGCTCAGCCACGATCCACCAGCGCATGGAGACACTGAAAATCCATAATGTGGACGATGACGATTTTACCACGAATGCCTCTTCCAAGAAAGAACCCATCAGTGCGTTGGAACATTTCGAACGCGCTGTCGAAAAGGAGAGTCAGGGGAACTTGGGAGATAGTCTCTCCCACTACCGCAAAGCGTACAAGCTCGATTCAAAGGTCGATCAGTCATACAAGAACAAACACTTCCCTCAGACAACCAAGTCAAAAGTGTCCAACCCCAATCCCTCCAACGCCCCTGTCACAGTCCCCTCAACCGCCCACCACTCCCTCAAAGAACCCGACCCGTCTAATATAACTTTTTCTCAATTGATCGACTCCTTTGCACACGCTCAGATCGAAGGTGCACCGCCCATTATTGAGGGAGATCGTCCTCCCCCTTGCGTTATCAAGAGGCTTCCCGCGGAGGTATTGCTGGAGTTGCTCCAACACATAGCAGTTCGCGATCCGGCCATTTATGTTCGACTGTCTCTGGTCTGCAAGAAGTTGGCATATCATGTCCTAAGCGACAACGCTATTTGGAAACGTGTGGCCATGGGCGCCGAATTCGGCCTCGCCGGGCAGCGTTACGACTTCAACACCGATTTACAAGGTCGTGAAATCACCTTCCGTGCTCTGGATGAAGACCTGGCAGATGAAGACTTGCCGGGCCCCGTACGAGTGACGGACCTCCCATTCCCTAAGGACACTATCTGGCGCGAGGTTTTCCACAACTATCCCCGCATTCGCTTTACGGGTGTATACATCTCTACCGTCAACTACACTAGGCCGGGTGCTGCTTCTGTTACGGCGAGCACGTGGACCAACCCGGTGCACATCGTGACATATTACAGGTATCTGCGTTTTTTCCGTGACGGGACCTGCATATCTCTTCTCACAACCAACGAGCCCATCGAAGTGGTTCACCACCTGACACCGGAGAACCTGACCTTTGTCCGTTCGGGAAAAAAGGAGGCCGCACATCCCCTGAACTTCACCTCCTCTGCACCCGCCCTGCTGAGAGAATCCGGCTCCTCCAGCATCGCAACGGGTGGCGGCGGAACCAGCACTGCAGCAGCACCACCTCCATCGGCGCGAGACGTCATGAAACACGCTCTCCGTGGCCGCTGGCGCCTATGCCACCCAAGTCTTGACATTTCAGAATCCAACAACACCACCACCACCACCACCACCACCACCACCAACCCGAACCACAGTCACGACCACGCAAGAATCCCATCATCCAACCCCACGCCAACCATGTCCCCAGGCGATCTGCATATCGAGACCGAAGGCGCCGGCCCCCGGTACATGTACACGATGCACCTCTCTCTAAAATCCGCGGGATCCGCCCGCTCGCGCCACACCACCAAGAACAACAAGCTGGTGTGGAAGGGCTTCTGGAGCTACAACGTGCTCACCAACGATTGGGCCGAGTTCCACCTGAGGAACGACAAGCCGTTCTACTTCTCCCGCGTCAAGGGTTACGGGCTGGGTTATTGATTCTTTGTTAGAAGTGCGGCCCTCACTTTCTTAGAGAGGCTCTCATTACTCGGTATATACCGAGTAGTGCCTACGTACTACGTAGGTAGTGTGGGGACCTGAACGCCGCGCAGATATAGGACATGGCGCGCTGGGCATACTCACACACATTGGGTACACAATGCGAGAAGGAAGGGGAGATATAGACCATTTAGATCAATCCATACATGTCGATTGGGTCGCTCATAGACAGGATATTTACACTCTGGACACCTCTCTACCTATCCATCTATCCATCCACGCCATCCTATGTATCTGTCTACATATCTATCCACATGGAAGAATCTGACAATACAACCCATCCACCTCATCGCACGACGGGGGTCAATCGCCATGTCCATATGCCTGTCCATATGCCTGTCCATATCCCATGTGCAACACTTTACAAGACACGGGTCATGTATCCCGGTGTATCGATATCTCGGGCTCCATCTTGGTTTCTTGATATTTGGACAAGTCTACAACCAAGAAAAAAAAAATCAAAATCAACGAACATGCTCCCTGTAATCCAAAAAGTAGAGACGCCCCTCTACGAGAAAATTAAAGGGAAGCAGCTTCTGGCAGTTAAACGGGATCCAAAATATTCTCGGGCATGGCTATGTAGCATTCTGGGCTATGGTATCGGTATCGGGCAAAGATAATTTTGCCTGGTTCGGTAAGGAAAAGACTT